AAGGGCCTATAAACTAAATCCTAAGGAACCGTTTCCCTAGGCCTTTGCCATTCTGGAACATGGTGCTCTGGGATTGTCTTCTTAAAGCAATGTCTTTCACTTTTGCAATTTTCAAGCTACAAAAGGTGGAGCCCTGATGGTTCTTGTGCTATCCTCAGGTCACCTTTTTTCTTCTCTTGTTCCTTCTCCACAACCAAGTTTTCCTCTGCTTTATCTTTGCAGTCCACAGCTTTACTGGAGCTTTATTTCTGGCCAAATTTTAAATGTTTTAAAACATTCTTCTGGGCTTTGGGCTCTAGATTCTCAACATAAATCTGGCTAAAAGCTCCCAACAGTAACCATGCCCCTTCCTCAACATTAGACAACCTTAAAATTTCTTCTTCAAGATTAATTAGTCCAGCACCCTTAACCTCAGTCTCAGACAAAGTGTCTGGACATGAGAAAAATGCAGACAAATTTTCTTCCAAGGCATAACACACATTGTCTGGAGTCTAACAGCCAATGCAGCCCTTCTTCCCGGAAGAAATCTCCTGAGCCTGATCTTTAACAGCAGGATTTCTATCAGCCTTCTGGTCTTCTGAGCTCTGACCAGAATTTCTGATCAAGTACAGCCTAAGGTGTTCCAGTTCTACTTTTTCAGCCAGCATCTCTGAACCTTCCCTAACTCTTCCTCTTCCTACAAGCCATTTCCAAAAAGTCTTGAGCTACATGGCCAGGCGATGTCACAGCAATGATCCCACTTCTCTGGTACAAATTCTGTCTTAGTTACTTTTCTCTCATTGCTGAAACAAAATATCCAACACCCAAAGTTAAAGAGGGGAGGTTTATTTAGCTCTCAGTTTGTAGAGGCCTCAATCTATAATCTGCTGGCTCCAAAGCAGGGTGACATCATAGAGGAGAAACAGTTCACAGCAAGCAGAAAGTAGTAAAGCAACAAGGGACAAACACAGCTCTTTCTACCCCTTATATCTTGTCCAGGCTACTTAGGGTAGGTAGAACTCATGCCCTTAATCTTAGCGCCTTGATCCTAACATTGTACCATGAATCAATCCCAGTGTCACATACTCTAGATCCAGCCACTTGTGAAAAACCCCCACTTACAACCTAATGAGGCTTTGGGAGGACATCTAAACACGAGACACGAGTTTCTGTGGTTTTAGTTACCCAGTCAGCCACAATGCAAAAAAGTAGCACGAGTATGCTAATTAAAGTCTTCCTACCATATCAGCTGTGGGCTGGAAGGAGCTTTAGAAAAGTGTGTGCACCATACCTGGCTGTTATCCTTTTAAAATGTAGTACCACTTAGACCATATTTGGGTGTACAGTTCACTGGCATTAAGCATATTCACACGGTTGTGTAATCATTTCTGACAAGTTCTTAAATGAGCTCAGTGGCTGAGCACATTGCCTGCATTTGTTGTGTTTCCCTCTGAGCAGGACCTGATAAAGGGCAAAATCTTGCTCTCCTGTTTTCTAGTCCATTGTTCAGTGTTAAATCAAAATAAAAACATCTAGAGTAACTTTCCCTTTCTCCTTTGCTCCCTTTTGCTAATAAGAATAAAATGTGTGAGTCTTTGGGTAGAATTGTGCATTTCACCTACAGTCTTTTTCCTTACCCTACTACTACAATTTTCTTTCTCTCTCCCCATTCCTTATTTTCTGCGACTGTCCTCAGTGCATGAGTTGGAACCCAGGACTTAGGTGACACTTTACTCTAGGTCCATGAAAGATATCTCTAGTATCTAGTCATGAAAACATTCTGCAGAGATTGTGAGGGGTCTGGGGTTTACTCTTTATTTAACTGCTTTATAGCAGTCCCTCCTTATCTGTGGTTTTGGTTTCTGTGGTTTTAGTTACCCAGTCAGCCACAATGCAAAAATAATAAATGGGAAATCCAGACCAAAAAAAAAATTGTGCAACATGTGCACTGCAGCAAATCTGAAATCATGGCATGCTTAATCACCCAAGTTTAGTGGTGGACTGCTCTACTACTGAAAGTTAAAAGGAATTAGGGGAGGGTGGAGCATTTGCCACTTTCTACAGTGTTAATATTTCCACTGTGGGCAGTTTTAGAGTAGCAAGGTGACATAATTGAATCCTAAGTTTGAAAGAGGTGCTAATAGCTGGCTTTCCCAAGCCGAGTCTGATCCAGGATATCACTGACTGCTTAGTAGAACTCAGTACAACTTTCAAGAAGAGAGATTTCAACAATGAACTATCTTAGCCACCACATTCACTAGCCTAGCACATCAACCTAGTGTTGATCTTTGCAGTGTGATAACTAAAAACAGTTTTATAAGGTAAAGTTACTTTGCATTTTCTTTCAAATGAAAAGCTGAGATCTTCTAATACATATGTAAGTCAGTATATATAACATATACTGACACAGTATTCTATTTATACTTATAAATACATTTTCTTATGTAATAGAAAATGAATGCTCTTTTCTATGAATTGAGTCAATCTTCTGATTTATTTTTCATAGACTAATCAGATTCTATGTACTCACAGTGTACATATGGTTTTTACATATGGAATGACTAAATTTAGCTATTTAATATAAGCATTATCTCAAACAGTTAGCATTTTAGGGGTGAAAACACATATGTCTTGATATGATCTGGATGTTGAATGGCCCCGGAGGTCCACAGCTACAGGCTTATCCCCAGGATGGCACTAATGGACTAATGGAAGTTCCTATGGACCTTCAAGAGGTAGGGCTGGAGCAGAGCTGCTTGAGCCATAGGAATGTGCCCTCAAAAGGGACTGTGGAAGTCTCTCTCTCCTCTCTCTCTCTCTGTCTCTCTCTCTCTCTTTCTCTCTCCCCTCTCTCTTTCCTCTCCCCTCCCTCTCTCTGTCACTCTCTTTCTGTCTCTCTCTCTCCCTCCCCACTTCCTGGCTCCAAATGTGATGACTCCACCACATGCTCCTACCACGGCCATCTGCCAGCCTCACCACAGGCCCAAAGAAATGGGGCCGCCCCATCTTTCAGCTGAACCTCCAAAACGATGAGGAAAAGAAACATCTGTTCACTTCCTAAGTAACCTGTCTCAGGGATTTCATTACAGCAACACACAACTGACAAGCACATCCCCACTCTCTTCCATCCATCCATGCTTTCAGCATTTTTCAATATGATATTCTTAAATATCATGTTGTAAAATAGACACCCTGGACTAGTCTCACCTAACTGAAATTTTATGTCTTTTAACCAACATCTCCCAACTATTCTTTGACTGCCCTAGTTCCTGGTAACTACCATTCTACTCTCTATTCTATGAGATTAATTTGTTTAGAATCCACATGAGTGGTTATTTTATTTATTAAGGTCTTTATGTCTATCTTCTAAATCAGCAGTCCTCAGTCCCTGAACTACAGATGAGTATTGGTCTGTGGCCTGTTAGGAATCAGGTCGCAGAAGAGGTGAGTGGTGGGGCAGCATGCAAAGCTTTATCTGTATTTCTAGCTGCTTGCCATCAGATCGACGGTAGCATTAGATTCTCTGGGAACATAAACCCTCCTGTGAACTGTACATACATGAGAAGGCTCTAGGCTGAGGGCATCTTTGAATCATCCCAAACCCATCCCTCCCTTGCCCCTCCTCATGGAAAAACTGTCTTCCAAAAAACTCATCCCTGGAACCAGGAACTTGGGAACTGGTGCTCTAAATAACTATAGTCATAATATACTGACATAGTAAGTGAAATACTGTTTATTGTCCCTTTATCATATGATTAGCAGTTTCAAACTTAATTCCTTTTAATCATCTCTAGAGGTTTTGAAAGAAATAAATATACTTTTAAAAGCTACATGTAAGTGGGGTCTAAAACTGAAAGTGAGTTACTATGATTCCTCTTTTCCATAATTTTTAAGGTAACAAATATGTTAACAGTATCAAAATACAATGCCTACACTTGACTTTTGCAGAAATAAATTTCAATATCATTACAGTTGACTAAATGTAGAAATTTTATAAAAATTCATCAAAGAAAAGTTTTGATCTAACTCCCAAAACACATAGAGTAATAAGATCATGAACATTGTGGTTTCTCTTCAGATAGTAATAAGAGCATGAACAATAATGTAGCAAAGGATTTTTCATCTGAATAGTTTAATAGAAACACAGCACAGGGGCTGGGGATTTAGCTCAGTGGCAAAGCGCCTGCCTGGCAAGCACAAGGTCGTGAGTTCAATTCCTGGTACCGGAAGAAAAACAAAACAAACAACAACAACAACAAAAGAAACACAGCAGAATCTTTAGGAAAATTAATCTAATAACATCATTATGAAAACATGTTTAATAATAGAGATATTCTGTATTGACTTTTATATATTATTAACTGAGATTACTGGTTGGATCCTCTTACCTTGGTATAACAACTTGTAAATAATCCACTTTGAAGTTAGACACTAAGAAGCTACAAACATAGTAATCTTTTAAGATATTACACACTTCAAGTATTTCCAGGTTCACAGATAACACTGAAGGAGCAGAACTTTCCACTAAACCACACATGTAAGAAGTCATTCAATGTATTGAGATGAACTTTGAAGGAAAAGTAGAAACCACAATGGCAAAAAGTCAAGAACCATTCCTCCATGGGGCTTCACCACCTTTCTTAACTCTAGCACTGCTCCCATATGCCTCAGGAGGAAAGAAGTCAGAAGATCCATGGATGCACAGCTTTACAATACATCTACTTCAGCATCTATTGATGCCAAATGCAGCTATTTTGCTTCTCCTCTACCTATTCCAATCACAACTTTTAACCACAGCCATTTTCCTAGTAACCAGCATGTGCACCAGAAATGGCAGGGGGGGGAGTTGATGAAACGCAATTTGATGCAATCAAATATAACTTGCAGCAAGTGTTTAATAGAATGAAGTTTGAAAGCAGTCGCTGACAAGATATTTGTATCATCTATGCAATCTTTTCATCCTGGTGTTTTCAGAACATATGGCCCACAGTACTCAAGTACACAAAACCAAAACAACTTACCTCATCCACATTTTCAAAGGCATTGATGATGTCATAAGGTAAACAAGACAGCAGATCGATCACAAACCAAGTTTTCAGATAGTTCATCCTTATGAGTTTAGGATCAGAAATGACCTCTCCACCGGGCCCCACAAAAGTTGTGTGGAAATTTAAAACGATATCAACCAGAAATATAACATCCACCACACTGTCCAGCACCAACCAGGCTATATTATTCTGCTTTGTTTTGAAAGAAACGTTGTAAGGAACCATAATGGCGGTGTAGAAGGTAAGAATTAAAATCACCCAATCCCACGTAGTTTTAAAAGCACAGTAGTGTAAAATAATGTGTGGCGGCGTCTTTGGCGCTTCTTGTTTATACTGAGGAAGGATATCCGATCCCAGCTGAAGAACCTGGAAGAGAGAAAATGTATGCATAAACAACTTGCCCATCTCTGTGCATCTGGCAATGAATTTAAACTTACTGTCACACCACAGCTCATTTGTCCTAACTCTTGGCTTCAAGGCCAGACATGTTGTATAGCTTTGTCTCCATCTTGCAAATTGCACTAAATTGTAATTTGTTCAAAGGAAGTCACTCCAAGACCAACTGCTCTACACAAGTTGGTCTGTTTACTTCTCCACTTGCCTTTCTCTCCAGTGGCCAAGACCAGCCAGCAACACCACAGGGAGGGCCTTGTGCACACCCACTTTACAGGCCTGCCTAGAACCACATGCTTTTCACAGTACGGGTGATTCACCTTACCCATTTTTCACACATATTTAACACCTTGAAGAAAATCTTGATTCTGGTGGCTTTGCTAAACCCCAGGGAACCACAGTTGGTGACCTTGCTGCTGGGAAAGTCAGCAAGCACCCTCGTTACTAGCACAGTAATGCATGGAATTGGGTTATGTGATAGCCTACTTTGTTCCTTTTTGCCCTTAAACCAAGACATAAGGAGTTTCCTACCAGATGTAAATTCCCTAGACGAAAAAAAAAATGCTATCTCCTCAAGTTTATGTCTCCATACCTCTTTAATAAATGAAAACATTTCAGTCCAAGGTTACATGAACCTTGACTTACTCTGTGTAGCCTGTCTAATTAAAGTAAGAAACCAAGAAAAAGTAGATGTCAAAGCAAGAGGAGAGGTTTGGGCACCCCCGGCTGAATATGACAAACACAGGACATAGCATTGCTTTCTGACACTGAAACCTGAAAATTGTAAAAAGAATTGAAGAAACAGATCAAAAATCTTTGCTTCAGGCCATCAATGAAGTTGAAGATAATGTATGTATTGAAGAATTTTCATAAGTGGCTATTTGTTGTTTTGGGTTTTATTTTGCTGTTGTTTCAGTGGTCTTGGAAGGTTTGCATGCAAGTGGGCATATTTTACTTTTCAATTTTTATTCATTTATTCTTTGGCTTCTAAAGTTTTATGTTTTGTTTTTTAAACATTTCCCACAGACTTTCCCTACTTTATGTAAGTAATTATTCAGTGTCTGTAGAACTAATAGAACACAGGAAATAGGAGACAAAAATCTAAATCATAAATGCATTAAACATTTGAACGTAGAAGCAGATATAAACAAAAATACTCATTAGCATGTAACTCTGTCAGTTACACAGCACAAAGCAAAACAAATACACCAGCATCTTTTGAAACTTGGGAGAGTATCCTAAAATTTCTCTCAAGTTGAAGTTACATAATTGAACACTAATTATATAACATCTATTCTTACTATTTTCAATATGAAAAACATCTCTATTAGTTTCTTTAGTTGTATATTGTAATTATTATTTTTAGTAGGAGGGTTATAAGAAATATTCTGAGGATCTTTTATGTATTTGCCTGTATTCCTAGATCCCCATACATATTTTTCCCTTAAGTTTTTTGTTGTTTTTTGGGGGTTTTTTTCCAGAAATCCAACTCAGGACCTGTGCTTGCTGGGCAGGTGCTGTGCCACTGAGCTGTATCCTCGGCCCCCCATAGTTTTTAAATTACTTAGCACCAAATTATTCTACCAGGACTATGAGCTTCATGTTGCGATGGGGTTTCATATATAAATAATTGTACATAAGCCTGGCTTCTCTTTTACCTTTCAACCATTGCTCTATTAGTACCAATCTGACTGTGGGAACTACGAATATTTCCTTCCTACTCAGTGTTACAATTTTACCACTATTTTACCACTGCACACACAAGTTTAAGCACAAAGGAATCAAACTTGGAAAATAAGGACAAGGGGTGAGGGGCATTACCACCAACATGATCCACAGGACTCCATCCTCCTACTAAGAATATAGAAAGTTATATTTTATAACTACATTGGTACAAAGGCAAATATATTAATATTATATATTTCTACCTAAAAGTTGTTTTTTTCTTTTGCAGTTAATAGAAATTGAAACATTTTGAGTGCCCCTTTAAGTGTTGTAGGCCCTCAACACAGTGCTTGCCTCATTAATGAATAAGCTGGCCCTGCCCAGTACCCTGGAAAAATGTAAGATCTCTCCTCTCACTCCCAAGTTGAGCGTGTCTTAAATCTGGCCACAAATTAGAATCATCTGGAGAGGTTTTTAAATTACAGTATAAATCCACCTAGACCCCACCCCAGAGAATGACTAAACTTGTCCTATGTGAGTTCTCTGACATCCCTGGACTTCTTAACCTTTCTGGGGGATGACAATACAGAGATCGAGATGAGCTCTTTGTCTTATATTTAGCCATCCCCAAGTCAATTCTTTAGACGGTGACTAACATACAAAAAATGTTCCCAAAATACTAGATGAGGAGGAGGAAGAGCAAGAATAGGAGAAGGAGAAAAAAAGCAGTTTTAGGAAGAGGAGATGGAGGAGAAAGAGAAAAAGAGGATGCGTAACAATAACAAGAAAGGCACACAGCATTTGGGTTTTGTTCTTTCTTGTATGCCTCTGTCATCACTGGGTTCCACAGTTGGGCTCTTTTATAAAGCAATGAGTAATAACTCTTCCCTTTCACTGCTATTTCATTTGCACTTTCATAAGCCTTAGGTAAAGAAAGGATGAAATCATGCTTTTTCATGTACTGTTGTACCAATCCAGACTTTCTTCTCTGAAGATCTGAGAGCCTTAACTCTAAGGAAGTCAGGCCCACGTCAAGATGAGGGTGTGTATATTTACATCCACGCAGCATCAGTGTGAACCAGCTGAAGGCCGTCAGCATGATGTCAATACTGGTGGAAAATTAACTAACTTCTTTCATGGAGACTAGAATCTTTGAAACTGAGGTTGAGTTCCAAAATTAGGAGGTAGGTCAAACTGAGATCAAATTTACATCTTATGGTAGGTGAAAAGTCCAGAATCCCACAGCAAAAACAGATACTTTACTCGGGCAAATTACATAAATCTTTGAGTATCATTGGAAAAACAACATTCTTGTACTAAGTCAACATTTCTTTTAGGTACATTTTTGGAAAACCTAAGGGCATACTACTATCAAAACCCTGTGTTTCCTTGACATTGGTTAAAGACATGAACAACAACAAAAATCTTCAGTTATTCAGGAGGCTAAGACAGAGGGTTTTCTTCTCTAGGTAACCCTCTCTCTCTTATTCTTTTCCAATAGTGTAACACAGAAAAGAAAATGTCTGAATGAGGTATAGTTGATCAAGACTGAGCAGAAATCATGACTATAAAATTCAACAGCCACAGAAACCAGCTGTTACTCTTCAGCCAGATTTGGCATCAGACATGGAGAACTTCAAACAAACAAGAAGGTAGTACTAAAACCAAGTAGTACTTAATAACAGGCCCCACTGGAAAAACTAAGCTGCATGTAATCATCTTAAATAATGTGCTAATTTATAATCATCTTTTTCAACTTTACAAATAATACTAGTTAACAGTTATGTTAATGTCTACTTGTATTTTTACATTTTTTTCTTATTTGTATTTTTAAAGACATGTCTGGACCTCAAAGTATTAATCTTTCCCCAAGATAACAGTGTTACAGCAAAAAACTCTAACAAGTCTCTGTTGACTATGGGCTAAGAAAAATTTCTTTTCTTTCAATTCAGGGCACATATTTTACTTCCTAACCCTTTTTAAACCAGACTTCATATCTGCAGCTACTGAGAAGAGTTATTCTAGAGTACGTCCACTCACTGTTCTCTGGCAGAGTAAATTGATGAACGTATGCGTTTAATTTTATCTTTCTCCTCTGATAAGCCACATCAGAATATTTTCTGTGTGCCCACTGTATGTTCAGCATAGTTTTTGATAGTTTAATTAGACTGTTGGCATCCTTCATACCAGTTAAGACAAATAATAATTACAGAAAACATGCAAGTCACAAAGCTTGTAACTCCCTTCGAGTTCTATCCTAATTCCTTTTCTCTTTGGTCTCAATGCACTCTCACGAGTAACACTGTCTGGTCTTGCAACTAAAATTCATACCTGTGAGGATGATAAAGAATCTATAGTTGAAATCCAAATATCCTTCCAGAGTGCAAGACCTATAAATCCACTGCCATTTCCCCACATGGATAGATATTTCAAACTTAATACATCTACAACTGAACTCACTGTCATTGCCCCTATATCTTCTCTTTCTCCTTTTGTATTTGTCAATTTATTATGTAATGGCAATGTCTACCAAGCTGTCTAAAACAAAACCCATACATTTATTCTTTAGCTATTCTCTTGCTTCACACTCAGTTCTCATCTATCAACAAATGTGTCAACTCTAATCCTGAGGTAGCTGAAATCTGCCTACCTCTGCTATCACCCGTGTTTAAGATCCTTCTAGCTAAATCTGCATACTCATTCTCCACAGAACCAATATGTCAAGCAAAGGATCTTAGTCATCTTTGTGCCTCAGATCCCTTTTGCAATCTAGTGAAAGCTAGGGACCCCTTCTTTGAAAGTCTTTAAATTAATACAGTAAAAAAAATGACATACAAAAGAAACCAGCTGGGACCAATCTCTGAGAGATTTTCCTGACACATGAGATATCAACCACCTCATCTTACTGTACATGACCCTAATCTTTCCTTCCACATCTGAATTCAACCCCACTGCAAGCACACTCAAAGCCCTCATCCTGTATCATCTCAAAACTTGGCCTATGCCAGCCTTCCTTTTGTACCTGACATCTAGATTTGCTTAACCCAGGAATCACCTCACTCAAGCGCCTGCCCTAGTGGCCCAGACCTGGGCCCATGCTACTGCATACATTCCTGCTGCATTCTGCTATGCTCTTTAACATGCTAAGATCACTTTCCTCTGCTGTATGTTGCACTCCTTGGTGGTGGGGCCCATTGCTCATTCATCTCTACATCCTTTGGAGAAAGCCAAGCACAGAACAAACCCTTAGCAAGTTCTTGCTGCACAAAGAATTGCTCTAATGAAACCTCACACTTTATAGGCATCAGTTGAGATGTCACAACTACATTCTATTTCTTGTTTTTTTTGTATCAGGAATTGAACTCATGACGTCACACTTGTCAGGTAGGCTCTGTGCCGCGGGACTACATCCCTGGCCCAACATTCTATTTCAAAAGCTGGAGAGAAAAAGAACTATTAGAGACTTCTCTGCTTCTACGAGGGAAAAATTAATTAACACCTGTATATTTATAATAAAATAGCCAGAAATATGTATATTGAATCACTTGGGACAAAAGATGTACCATCAGCACCACTTTGGGAAGCGAAGCTAGCCTCACACTTACCTCAGCTAATCGCGAGTGCTTGTGGGCCACCTCTGTTTTATTCATTGGCGTAAGCTGCTGCAAAACACTCCGGCTATTTGTCAAAGCCCGTGTCAATCGGGCAAATTTTGTCCAACCTTAAAAATACAGAAAGAAAGTCTCAGGTTTTCACATAGAATGAATAAGGAATCCAAGATTCTTGACAATATGCAAAGAATCACAGCAACCATGAAACATCAAGAACAAATGATCAATCTAAAGCAATTGATGTTCACATAAACACCATCATGTATTTACTGTGAAACTATAAAATAATGAGCAATTTTCATGTATGACCTTTGATTTGTACACATATCTATTATATAATCCCTATAGCCAAAGCAAGTAACTGTCCACAAAATTCAGTGCTCCCACTTCATTGCGTAGGTCTCTTACTAGAAACCAGTCATCCACTTCCAGTGCCCAGCATTTCCCAGCATTCCTTGCATTGCTGTGTGTCCATGTTAATGGTTCTCACCAATAGAATGTAAGCAGATATGTGTCACATTTTCATCACAATTTAAGAAGCAAGTAAGGCTCCAGCATACTTTCTCCTCCTTCTACCAGCTGGATGCAAATGAGGAGGCCCTAGGGGATGCAAAGCTACTGAATCACAGAATGGAAGAATGCCATATGTCTGCCAGGATCACTGAGCTTGAACTGCTATGTGAACAAGAAATATGCTTTAATTGTGTCAAATGACTATTATATCTATTTTATTAGCAATAATACATCATTATTGCAGTATTATTGCTATTTGTTATAGCAGCTAGTACTACTCTAATAAAAACAGTCCTACAGAGCATTTGAGTGAAGATAGTCACACGTAAGAAAAAAAGCCCAGTTTCAACAAGTCTCACATATTTCCATCTTCCAACATGACAAAAATGTTATTTTTCTCATTGAGAAATTCAGTAATATCTAAAAATTACATTTAGGTTATCTAGAACCCTAATGTTTTCTGATAGACTAGCAGCTTCTAGGGGAGAAGAATGTGAATCTGATGGAAAGAAAATATCTTTTGGGTCCTCAAATGGTCAATATTAAACTCACTAATTTCAAGGAAATCTCAATGAGATGTGAAGAAATGAAATAAAACCAATCATATTCTGTCTCAACTACCCTTTCTCTGAGTAACTCAAGCTCTGATATATTAAATATTTTATTAAACTATTTGATGATTATTATAGTACTACAGGATTTACCAAACAACTCCTTGAAATAAAAAAATAAAAATCTACTGCTATAAGGGAATGACTCTTAATGGCATGATGAAATTTCGCACAGTGTGATTAAAGATGATGGAAGAAATCTAGGACATACATTAGCTTAATACCTGTCAAATCACACAATGAAAGTGATGTTATAATTTATTAGTATTCCTTTTTTGGTACTAGGAATTGAACTCACAACCTCATGTTTGCCAGGCAGGCACTGTGCCGTTGAGCTCTACCCCTGGCCTTATTACTATTTTTTTAATGGGAACATCAAAGTAAGTATTTGAATAAGGCCTGTGCTGTATAGCACAGGAGTTCCATACACAAGGGGGAGCCCTCCTAGACTAAACCCCAGGAAATACTTCTGAAGTGCTACTTATATACCAGATAGCAACTCTGTTCCAGTGAGGCTAAGGCATAAAAGTGCTGAAACCCGGGAATCTTCTGGAAGTTTGTTGTGAAGTTGAGTATGCAAATAAGGGTCCTAGCTCACTCCTTTCCTGACCTAAGCCAATCCAAGGTAACCTCTCCATTCTTCAAAAAGGCAACAGTATCTTTTTAAGTGTCCAGACAATCATGACTCCCCAAGATGGCTAGAGAGGCCATCAGTCTCTGGATAGAAAATCCCCTGGAGGTATGCCCACAGAGACATCTCTGGGGTCAAGTCTCTGCTCTAAAAGAATATGGTCAGGCTTGAGAGGATAGTGGTGACAGGGCTCAAAGCATGGGAGATATTGGCAATGGCTAGTCCTTATGAAGAAAGCCCAAAGCAGTCCTGGCAGCAGTTTCTAGACCAGAAGTACTGGGAGGAGCAGGTACCTGGTGATGCAGAAGGTAGAGTTGTAATGGTTTTATTGGAAAGGAAGCTCCACTAGAACTCTTTAGGAGTCATTACACTACCTATAGCTTTATATTGTTGGTAAACTTCGTATCTTCCAGACTGAAGAACTTCCATCCTAAGCTGCTGCTGATGATGCAAGGCGCACAACCAGTGTCTTGGGAGGAGGAGCCAGGACCCCATATATCACTGAATCAGTTGTCAAGAGCTTTTTATTCCCCTGCTAAGGAGGGTCAACTGCCCCCAATTAGCTTTTGAACCAGTCACAGAAGAAAGACCTCTGCCCTTCAGCTCCCCTTGATTAAGGATGAAATCTCTTAGGGGGATGAGACAGATGAGAAGCACCCGACTCCTATTCCCCAGAGGGCTGGAGAGAGCGGACCTGGCCAGGGGTGGGGCTAAGCCAGTAACTATCTGCCCCTATCCTTTGCTCTCTTTTGCTCCCGCTTGCACTCCATCAGACTGGGAGAGTTTGTTTCATTGACTACCTAGCCATATCTTCCCTAGCTATCAAACCACCATTTTACACTCCAACATGAGTTTACTAGTAGTCTTTGGACTAACTCTGATTTTGTTTAAACTTAGAATCGCTTCCACTAATTCAGCTCTTTCTATGTATTCATTGCCAATAATTAGGTTGGAAAATAAATAAATGGTATCTGCTGATGGAAGGCACTTCTTTCTTCCTCATTAATGGACCTCATGGAAGAGACTAGCCATACATGACCCTAATGTCTACCCTGCGAAATGTGCTAGAGACACAAAGAGGCACCAAAAGTCACAGCTCTAAAAAAAATCAACATCAACGTTTTTTAAAATATATGCACCTTCTATAATCAACCAACAATTTTCTTCTGAGTGGCAGACCTATGTGTCTATGCACCAGTGGCTTCCTCTTACTAAGATGTTCTATAGACATCAAACACTCAACATATCCAAAATTCTTATCATCAACATCTTCTCCCCTGTCCCCAACCCTGCATCAGTTCTAGTATTCCTGATCATGGTAAATTGCCTCATGATATTGCTAAATGCCTAAACCAGAAATTTGAAATTTACTATCTTCCTTTAATGGTTACCTGTATACACATTACCTATCAAAGCATTTTTAAACCTTATAGATTATAATTTATCAATGATTATATCTCAGTTGAATATTTCCCCTTACTTATGGTGTCAGGCAATGTATTATCTTTCACTGGAGTTAGGTAGCAGAATCCCAAGGAACACATTCACAGTGCTCACATAGTTCTTTCTAAAGCCCAAATCTGACCATGCCCTTCACCTCTGTCAACGCTTTGACAAGGATAAACCTGCATATATTTGGAATATATATATACGTCATTTGGTTTCTGATCCCCCAAATATGCACTGTATCTATTGCCTGCCATTCTCTCATACTCGTCCCAAAACCAATAGCAAATTGAGTGAAGAAGCAAGAGAAAGAGGGGTAAGGATGGAGAAAGGGAGGAAGAAGAGAGAAAAAGAAGTAAAAAGAGTTTAAATGTGTTATGTCCATGTATCAACTCCCCTACAATAAATGCAATCAGTATGTACTGCAAAATGTACTAATAAAAATACAAAATTCAAGAGAAAATTTTAAAAATATATCTACTAGAAATTCTTAAAAGTGCATCCAAATGTGTCTCATGTTTCCACATTTCTACATGTCATAAGCACTCTGCCCAGCTGGAATGTCTTTTCCCTCCACAGTTTGTTTGCCTAACGCTTACTGATAGACACAGTCACAGTAAAGCTTCTCTTTGGAAGCTTCCTGGAACAACCAATAAGAGCAAAGTGTCTTCCTCTGTGCATGAACAGTGTAGTCATAGCACAAACAAACTGACACTGCCCGTGACTAACAAGTCACTTTTACTAATGTACTACCAATTCTCCACACTTAGCACTTTGTACAGGGCCTGGCATCAAATAAGCCATAAATACATAAATATATAACTGTTATCTATATTTTTATTTGCAACTTTAAAATCACATTTAAAACTAATCGGACTGATCAAAGAATACAGTGTGTGTTTAAATGAAAAATACAGTAAAAGATACAGTGTTATTAATCGCCCTCAAAATACTCCCCCATCACTTCAAACACACCTATCCTATGAGTTCTTGCCAGCTCTCAAAGCAGTTCTGGAAGCCCTCTTTCGTGAGTGTCTTTTTGCATTGTGATCGACCTACAGTGAACGCCACTACAGAGGGCCACCCAGTGGGAAAGCAGGCTTGTAAAAACATTGTGGTGTACTCACCAGATCTGACACTGTGACTTCTGGCCCTTGCCTAAAGGATCAAGGAAGGTAAATTTGACTTGATTCAAGACATCACGGTAGCCATAACAGGACAATTGCACATTTTGTAAATCCCAATTTGTTTTGTTATCTCTGGGCTTTGGTTTGGTTTTCTATGTTGGGTAAAAGTGGTGAAGGTGTCCTCAGTTGAAATTAGCCATAAGTGGGGGCTGGGGATTTAGCTCAGCGGCAAAAGCGCCTGCCTGGCAAGCGCAAGGTCGTGAGTTCAGTTCCCGGTACCGGAGAAAAACCCCCCCCAAAAAAAGAAATTAGCCATAAGTGTATTATACACTTACCTGAAAATGATTTCCATTCCTTATATTAGCTGAATATTAGAATTTTATATACTATTTCTAGAAACTAACAAGTCAATATTTTACTTACTGAAGGTTCATATTTCTTAGGTAGGTAATAATGTGTTCCCTTTTTACATATGAGATAGATTAAAAGAGAAAACCATTTATAGTGGCACAGTTTGTAACAGCTAAATCTTGGAAGCAACCCAAATGCTCATCAGCCAATGAATGGATAAAAAAGATGTGGTTTTTTTATACATAAAGGAGTATTATTTGGCCATAAAAAGCATACACTTATTGCTAAATGGATGGTGAGACCATAATTATAAGTGAAATGAATGAGACTCATGTAAATATCATATTATCTTTCTGGTGCAAGAAGCTGCAAATGTAAATAAGAACATAAATATGCAATAAGTATTGTGAAATAAGAAGAAACTGTTCAAA